TGAACTCTGGGCCTGGGTGCTGTCCCTCAGCTCTTCAGCTCAAGGCTAGCGCTCTACCACTTGAGCCACAGCACCACTTCCAGCTTTTTCTGCTTATGTAGTGCTGAGGAATCGAACCCAGGGCCTCATGTATGCGAGGCAAGCTCTCTACCACTGAGCCACCTTCCCAGCCCTCCTCCTCCCTTCTTAACCAGCAGCATTGTTTGATGCTTTGGACATTAGAGATGGCCACAGGGAAGCCCCCTTGGTGACCTGAGCCAAGGATCTGGGCTGCCCTGCCTCTTGTAAGGCAGAAGCCTAGATTTAGGGAGGAAAGGGTAGCTGAGCTGAATAGCCCTGCCAGAAGCGTGGAGGAGGGGTGGTGAATGGAAGGAAGGTGACCTGGCCAGACCAGGATGGGAGATCTGGCCTGTCTTCACAGGGGCTGAAGAAGCCCAATGTGGAGGAGATCCGTCACGCCAAGAACGCCGTGTTCAGCCCGTCAATGTTCGGTAGTGCACTACAGGAAGTCATGAGTATGCAGAAGGAGCGCTACCCTGACCGACAGCTGCCCTGGGTACAGACTCGGCTCTCCGAGGAAGTGTTAGCGCTGAACGGTGACCAGACGGAGGGCATATTCAGGTGCTGCGCCAAATCTAGACCCTGGGGGTATGGGCCACAAGTGTGTTTATTGTGCATCTGATGGCAGACCATTAAGCCTCAGGCCCCTGGGACCGGCTGCCATGCCTGCCTCTGAGCTGGCACTTCATGGAAGCTGATCCTGATGCCATGTGGCCAAGAGGCAGGGCTGGGCCCCATAACTTAGGAAGCAAGTGTGCTGAGAAATCCCCACAACAGCAGCAGTCAGTGCCTACATGTTGAGCCTGATGTGACCGGCGGCTTGTCGGGCAGCTCAGCTTCCCCCTGACCCCTTGGTTTGCCAAGCTCTGAACCAGGAACATGACAGCTCCTGCCCTGGTGGTAACACGTTTTGCCTACTCAGTGTTCAGCCACTGTAAGATGGTCTAGGAAGAGCCAGTGGCCTGAGGAAATCCATACCACTAACAAGCACATGGGAGATGGGTAGTTGAAGGGGGAGAGCCTTATGGCTCTGTACCCCATCTGCATTGGCAAATTGACCTGTCTGCGCCTGCCTTGTGCTCCCCAGGGTTCCTGGAGACATTGATGAGGTAAATGCCCTGAAGCTGCAAGTGGATCAGTGGAAGGTACCTACAGGCCTGGAGGATCCCCACGTCCCCGGTGAGCCCCCAGCCCACTCCACAGACATCCAGGCCAAGGCCTCTGTCTCCCCACACCTCTTGAGCTGTTACCCACAACCTCTTCTCAGCCTGCCCACCCTCCACCACTGATGGGGTCTCTAGTCACTGCCAGATAGCCTGCCATGCAGTGGACTGTCTCCCTCAGTGTCCTCGGGGCACCCTAGTTCAACCTAGCCAGCCTCGGCTCTGCCCGGGCCTTCCAGATCGGTTCTGCAGCTGCTGCACCAAGAGACTCATAGCCACTCCTCCATGCTCCAGGCAGTTGAGCCCTAAGCACCCCTGGGGTCTGGGCTGGGCCAGGGGGCCCCTTTTCCAGATGGCCTAGCCCTCCCCCCCCCCAGTGCTGTTCTGCGCAGAGGTTCTCCAGGGCAGACTCACTGAGCTTCGCCTGTCCGCAGCATCGTTGCTGAAGCTGTGGTACAGGGAGCTGGAGGAGCCCCTGATTCCGCACGAGTTCTATGAGCAGTGCATCGCGCACTACGAGAGTCCGGAGGCCGCGGTGGCCGTGGTGCACGCGCTGCCGCGCATCAACCGCATGGTGCTGTGCTACCTCATCCGCTTCCTCCAGGTAGGCAGCCCGCGCGCGGGGCACGGCGCCCGCGCCCACCCTGGGTCCCGCCAGCACCCACCCCATTCCCTGCTCGTCTCCGCCCCACACAGGTGTTCGTGCAGCCCGCCAATGTGGCCATCACCAAGATGGACGTCAGCAACCTGGCCATGGTGATGGCACCCAACTGCCTGCGCTGCCAGTCGGATGACCCTCGCATCATCTTCGAGAACACTCGCAAGGAGATGTCCTTCCTGCGCGTGCTCATCCAGCACCTGGACACCAGCTTCATGGAGGGCGTGCTATAGCACGAGGCGGGACTCGGGAGGGCAGCG